CTGGTCTATAATGTAAATTACACGTCTTGTTCAAATCTTGAGTTGTGTTTGGAGTAAATTTGTTTTATTTATCACCAGGTTATCTTTGCTTTCATTCTTATGACTAAATGAGTATGTTTTCTACATGAAAAAATACCTAATTTTTATTATCTAGATTAATTTTTTATTTTTACATTATAAAATTTGAGGACTGAAAAGTGGAGGCTTAAGGTACTTAGATGATTTGATAGAAGGCACACAGTTTTTTCAAACTATTCCTAGGACTTAAGTCTTCTGAGTTCTAATCCAAGAGTGGGACCGCACACATCTCTCAACTTGTATGTAGATTTTATTAGATTATTTGCAGTAAAATTGGTGGGCCATTTCCCCTCTGCAGTGCTTCCTTCTTCCCTCCAACACTCTGGAGAAGTAAGTTCATTCTAATACTAGCTTACAGAAAACAAAACAAAATCAACAACCAAAAGTCCACAACTTGATTTTCTTAAAAGCTTGAGAAACATAATTCCAATTTTTAAACACTTGCTAGTAGCTTATCTCCATCAGCAGATAAACTGGGTAAGAGCAAAAATCTGTACATATGTACATATGTACAGAAATTTTAAAAGCTGTCACATTTTTAAGAAATATGATGGTGTTTTAAAACCTAGTAGCTTTTGTTTAAAGATTGATTTATGCTTTTAAGAACTAGGATGTAGGCCAGAAGTATGGGGGGTGGGGTAGGGTGAGAGGATTCACCAGAGACAGAGTGGGGAGCAGAACAGGTGGACTGACTGAAATACATTGCTTAGGGAGGCAGCGGGCAGGACAGAAGAGGTCTGCTGTGGGTAGCTACCTGGTTGGGGATTGAATTTGTGCTGCAGTAGCTGCGGACTGCTTCATAGTGCTGATGCCTAATCCCTTGGGTCACCAGGGAGGCCCCTAAAACCTAGTAGATTTTAAGGAAAAATGCATTGTGCAATTGAAATCAAATAAAAGTGATTCTTGGATTATGCTTTCTTGCACTTTTCTAACTTCGTAGGCAAAAAATGAGTTTGAGTTTATCTTGACATATTTGGAGAGTATCTGAATGTCTACCCTTTGGCTGCTTCAGGCCAAAGAGAAGACTGGGATTTTCTCCAAATCAAATTCAAGCCTACTTAAAATATTTGGGTATGTCTATGGTGAGCAGAAACTTCAAATCTCACAGGGCAGCGAACAGCCACAAACAGTAGCCTGACTTCTGTCCTACCCCCGAACACAGCCCCATCCTTGTCTTCTGGGGCAGGCCTCCTTGTACCGATAGGTCTTGGCCCTCAGTACCATAAAGAATAACTTTAGTGGTCACAAAAAATTGTGGGAAATAATCACTGTGAAGATAAAAGTTGGATTTATTTAGCTCATTTCATCAGAAGGGGCAGTGGGAATGGATAAGCAGTAGTTTGTTGGAGTTTTCCTCAAGAAGAGGAAGAAGAGACACATGTGAGATTTTCCAGAACAATTTTAGCAAGATATTGGGAAGAACTTAAATATAAAAGTAGAGATTGTAAAGTTCAGTTGTTTAGAGAAAAAATCTCTTCTGAATCACTTAGGTAAAGAATCTATAGCTCTGTGTACAGTTGTGTATGCAAATGGGTTTATGCCTGCGTCTCTCTGTCCCTAGAATCAAGGGAAGGCATGGGTTGAATTAGGGGCTCTGAATTCCTGTGGGATAAAGATATAGCCCTATTAATAAACTCTTTACAATATTATGTGTCCTTAAATCTTCCTATAAAAGAAACATGCTAACAAATACCTACAGACATCCCAATATCTGTCCTTCAGTCTTTCTTTGACTTAGTAGGCTTGACAGTCCCTGCCTCAATGCCTTCAGGGTTCAACTTTAGCTCCAAAGTTCTGGTAAACATTGTTTAGCAGGGGAGAGAACCAGGGGCCTGAATTTGGCAGTGTGATTATAAACAAGTCATAACCATTCTGATCCTTGTGTAAAATGAGGTTCATGATCTCTATTCACATTCAGGGGACATTGTGAGGAGAAAGTGAGATAATACATATGAGGATGTTTTAGCAGAAGTTCTTTTTTGAGAGGAACCTTTTCCTCACAGGGAATGTATACATGCCTTTATCTACTACTTTCCTCCCATCCTAGCACATGATTGCCTGATAGTGCCAAACTCTGGCTAGGTTTTAGAAACAGTGGTGAGAAATGATGTTAGGAGGTGGATGTAATCCTTACTCTTGGAGAGCTTCAACATGTACCTAGTTGCCTAGTCCCTAATTGGAACAGCTTTCTCCTCCTTACTTCTGGAAAAGCCAGTCTTTATAGCTTTTCCTAATAGCCTACTCATTCCCATTGCCCTTTGCTCATTCTGTTATCCAGACTTTAAATGTTAGCCTTCTTTAGGGTTACATCTTAGGCATTCTTACCTGTACTGCCTCCCATAGTATATCTAGCTCCCTAATTGAAATCTTCTCTTTTTTGACTGTTTCAAAGATACTTCAGATTGACCATATCTAAAATGAAATTCATGACCTGCATACTGTCTCTTTCACCCCAAAAGCAGTACTGCTCTGGTGGTCTTTGTGTCAGTGAATTGTCCAATTATCCAGTTGTTTAATCCAGAAACTCATCTTTTTCAACCGTCTCATCTTCCACATAACCACTTCTTCACTATGTCCTGTTGCTTTTATGCTTGAATTCTTGACAGTCTCCATTTCTGTCCCCACCATTGTTTGTCAGAATATATCATCATCCTTTGTACAGATCATCAAAATACCATCTTCACTCATATATTTTGCTCCCTTATCTATCCTCTACACTTCAGGTAGAGCTGGTTTTATGTAAATATATTCAAGTGGTTCCAAAATTTTGAAAGTATGAAGAGGTTTTTAGTGAAGAGCCTCCTTCTAATGTAATGAGATTACTCATCCTAAACATCCTTCCAAGATATTTTATGCATATTTAAAGAAATACTCACTCTCTTTTAAAAGTTTCATTACTTACATAAAAGGTGATACACTGTGTATACTTCTCTTCACCTTGATTTATTTTTCAGTCAACATTATATCCTGGATATCTGTCAATTCTAGTTCATAGAAAATTTCCACATTGATTTTTATGACTGAGTAATATTTTGAGGTAAAAATGTTGAAATTGATGGATGGCAGAACAAAACGTTTCTTACTACCTAATCGAGTTCACTCTTCCACTTTGGATAACCCTGTCACCAAATCCCATTCATTACTCTCAGGGGGGAAAATTAAGGTCCTCCTATGCAGGACTCTCAGGGTCTGGCCCTTCTCTTCTCCAGAGTTGTCTTTTACTGCTCTTCTCCTTGTTCTCTTCCTTTGAGTTGCAGGGACATGTACTCTTATTTCCTCCATGTGCCATGTTCCTTGCTGCCTGAGAACTCTGCTCAACTTCCTAGTCTCACATGAAGACTAATTTCTTTCTTTTCTTAACTTTAATTAACTTGTAATCTACTCAAGGCAGATCTCAGCTCAAATTCTGTTTTCTCAAGGTTTGCTTTCTGACCCTGGCTACCTAAAACAAAGTCTAGAGCTTTCTGATAGTCTCCTGGCACCTTGTCCTCTTCCTTTGAGCAGCTGAAATTATTTAATATTATGTACTTAGATATGTGATTATTAGATTGTATTTATTTAGCCCACTTAAAACTGTATTTCTCTTAGAGTTATTATAACCCACAATGGGTCATGAAATCAGTTCAGAAAATTATGATAAACCCTTTTAAAAAAAATGAAATAGAAAATACCAGATCTCGTCACTTATAGTCAGGGTACCTTTTCACTATACTTGCAGCTTCAGATTGATACATGTGATTCCCTAATCACTGAGCTATAGAGGTATGTGGGGAACAATGTAAGTGTATTTCTTATTAATGGTTTTAGTCAAAGAAGTTTGACAATCATTGAACTGGTTCAATCCTATGTCTAGCAGAGGCATTAGTGGCAAGTTAGGTAGTTGGTAAATATGTTGGCTGCATGAATGAATGAATGAATAAGTGAACGCATGCATGAGTACTTTTCCAGGGAGGTTCTTCCTTATAGAGACAGTAGATCCTGGTTCTAAGCAGGTGTTAGTGAGTATTTCCTTGACCAGTTGAGTGTGCCTTTAGATCATTAGATGAAAAGTACTATAAAACCACACCTACAAAGGTACTTTTTTAAGATTGATAAGGAGAACTATTATTGTTGTGTTTTTATATTTAAACTTTTTGGTTATATTTATGAATTTTAAGCCTTAAATAATAGCTTATTTTTTAAATAAACATAATTTTCACCTGCTTGAACAAACATCAAGATACTTTTTGAGTTTCTAACTTAGTCCACATACACAGGGCTTATTATATTGCTGTTATCTTTTTGTGTGTACTTCAGCAATAAAATATTTACGCACTTTGGCAAGGTGATACTACAACCTGGTGTAGTACAACAGCTGCACTGCCTGTTCCCATGTGGTTTGATTCCCCTTTTTAATCTTCAGTTTTCTGCAACTAAAGACTTATGTCAGCATGTAGATTATATAGCAGCATAATGGTGAAAGCTTCTTGAATTAACACACGAAAGAGAGAAATACTCTGCCGAGTTTACTTGGTTTCATATTTTTCTAATGTCTTTGAAAAACATTTTCCAAACGTTCTACACAGTAGAGCTTTATAAACATCACGTATTTACAAGACATTTTTGTGACTTTTTTGTTCTTTAGAGAACCTGCAAACTCATCTCCAAAGGTTTAGTATCTGATCTTAAGAAATGCAAATATCTCAGTCCTAAAGTAACCTGCATTTTTTTACTTATCGTGAATCAGAAAGTCCTGAAAATAAAAGAATGATTCTTATATTTATTTTCAGTCATAAATTTGTATATATAATTGAAATGGAGATTGCATTAAAAACTGTTAAGGCAAATTACAGAATCTTAATTCTTTTCAAGTTTATTACCAGCGCCCTTTTAGCACAGAGTTTTAATCTAGCATATATGTTATTTTTTCTTTCTGTTTCTAGGTGCTCCTGATCCAACAGCAGGTGCTAGTATAGATGATGAAAACTGCTGGCACTTAGATGAAGAGCAGGTTCAAGAACAGGTTAAACTGTTCCTTTCCCAGGGCGGGTACCACGGATCAGGGAAGCAGCTTAATTTGCTTTTTGCAAAGGTATGATTGTTTATTTCTAAAGAAATTTTCTAAACATATACATATACAGAGAGTATATATATATATATCATGTTTACAATAGGATAAAGACTTATATATATATATATATATATATATATATATATATATTTTAAAGACTAGAATCTCCATTAATCAACCAGTTAGAAACTTCTGTGTTCTATTGTAAGCTTTAATTTGCTTGGTGACCCTAGATAGGATATGAAATGTTTTTGTATCTCTCAGTTCCTATTAATAAGGTGGTGATAGTTTGTAGAATTTTGAAAAATAACAAAAACTGACTACCTTTATGTTATTTAAAAATGCCATTTTTTCAAGTTTTTGTTTTTTTCCAGTTAATTTTCTCAAGTAGAGCATAATTCTGAGTATAGCCCTTAAGGTATTACATTATGTTTAGTTTAATGATGTCAGTATTTTTAAATTGGTTTTAAAAATATAGACTTTGAAATCATATAGGTCTAGGTTTAAATCAAAATTCTAAGTCTAAGTAAGTATATGAACCTTGGCAAGTTATTTAAGTCAGTTTCCTCATCTATGAAATTAGCAAATAATAGCATGCCTCCTAAAGTTGTTGTGATCATGGTGTGTTAACTGAACTGTTAGGACTTAGTAAATGTTAACTTCCATCACCAAAAATTTGATGGCCTAAGAAACAAAGTTCTGTGTAAGCAAAAGGTGTGTCTGTTGCTTTCTAGAGAACTTTTAGTACCCTAGCACTATTCTAAATACTGGACTAAAAACTTTCAAAATAATATTAAATTAAAATCTTTTCATTAAGGATACAGCCATCATTACGGGTTAAGTATTCTTACTGGTTTTAAGGAATAGATAACTGTTCATTGATACTTCTGCTAAGCAGCTTCTCTAATATACATAACAATTAAAAAAATTTTTGGGTTAGATGACTATGTTAGTGCCAGAAAAGTGTATTGTGATTAATCAGATACTCTCTTCATAAAGATCTATCCCATATATCATACATAGATTGCTAGTTTTCCAAGTAACCTCTAACTCTGAAACTACACATACATGATTCAATCTTCCTTTGGTAATTCATAGGCACTTCAAACTGTAGTAATAATGCCTGAGAGTCAACAGTCTGAAACTTAATTACTGTCAGGCTATAGGTATACTTGAGTATTAATTGGTTTGTCTTCTGTGCTTTTAATAGTAAAGTGGCTTTTTTATTGCTGTTGCCAACTGATTAACAGGTTAGAATTTTTTCACCCCCCCAAAAAAAAAAAAAACAGTAAATCAAATACATACTAGAGTGGTAATGTTAAAACTTTGGCATATTTAGAAATACAGAAAGTATTTCATAGATTCTTATGTCAGGAAACAGTATACTGTGGAAACAATGTGAAAGGTGAATTAGACTGACCTGCCATTGCTATGTTTATCCCTGTATATGATGCGCCACATGAAGTGACAGCAACGTCAGATTTTGGAAATAATATAGCTTTTAGAGTTAATACAAATCTGGGTTCTGATTCCAGCTGTTCATCTTGTTCTTTAGGCAAGTTAATGTCTCTGAGGCATGATTTCACAATTCATAAAATGGGGGTTATAATCTCTCCTACTTTTATATGGTGGTTGTGAAGACTAAGTGGTTAGTATAAATGTAAAACTCTTGAGCACAATGTCCAAGAAAGAGCAACTCCCTTTCTTCTTTCCAGTCTTCATCTGTTAGTGACTTTTTAGTACTTTCATAGTGAGAATAAATTCCTTTTTAAGATTACCGAAATAACCCTTATGGAATCACAACACTTGTGCTTCAGTGTAGTGCTTTTAAGTTCTTTACAAGGCTCAAGTTCTAAAGCATCTGGGGGGTGCCATTGCCTGTTAGGGTACAGGCCTGGCGCAGAATCTATTGATCTTGAGATTTGGACTACTTTATTGAAGACCTGCCATTTCCTTCTTCATTTGCCGTTCACATACAGAGTCTTGAGTAAGAGGAAACCCCTCCCCCATTCAACTCCTTTTCTATTGCCTGTGACCTTGCTTCAGTAATTCCCTACAGAAAGAACTGGTTTTAAGCTAGGATTCTTAGGAACACATAGCAGTACATACTTTTGGAATGGGTGGAATTCATCTAGGGTTTCATGTAGAGAATAGTAGCCTTGTGTTTATTTTCTTCCTTTCCTTTGGATTCTTTTCTTTTTATTTGGGAAATGAATGTAGTACAATAGTAATGGACAGAGCTTGAAGTTTCAGCTTGAGAGCCCAAGTTAACTTACTAGGTCAGTGGTTATGATTCTGTTTCATGGATCATTCATGTTGAACAAGAGTGTTTTTGAATCTTGAATTTCCTCTTACCTTGGCAAAAACAATCCCAACTGAGTGAGTGAAAGTATGATGTTGCTCTTTATGTAAAAAAAAAAAAAATGAGAAAACTTACTGACATTCTGAATACACTAAAATTCATTGAATTTTACCGTTTAAATTTGTGAATTGTTAGAGATGTGAATCATGTGTCAGTAAAACTCTTTATAAATCTGAAGGGCAGATACGATTATAAACATTATGAGATCAATTTAGAGGACCCCTAAAGAGTTCTCAGTAGTCTGCTTTAGGCTCTGCTGCTCTGGTGGCAAGTACAATCAAGAGTCAGGAAGAGGGCCTCCCCGGTGGCGCAGTGGTTGAGCGCTGGGTTGCCAAGCTGCCCGCGGCCTCTGGCGGCGCCAGTTCAATCCCCGGCTGCTCCCCGGCCACCGGAGGAGGGTCCCACATGGCGCGCAGACCTCTCCTGCCGCCCGCTGCTCCCCTCAGCAGTGTACTTCGGTCCTTCTGCCTGCTCTGCTCCCCGCTCTGGCTCTGGTGAATTCTCTCACCCTCCGCGCTTCTGACTGTACCCAGTGCTTGTATAAACAAACAAACAAATAAATAAATAAACATGCCTCTATAAAAAAAAAAAAAAAAAAAAAAAGAGTCAGGAAGATACCAAATGATTTGTTTTGTTTGTTTTGATATGTTATCTGTAGGCTAGCAAAACATTTTTAAAAATTTTTTTGAAATTGGGAAGTCTGTCAAACTTCTACGCCTCATGTGGATTCCAAAATACAATTGAAACAAAATTTGATCAAGTTGGCGTTTAAGACGGACACCAATTTTTAAAACATTTGTTTGCATAAGAGGACTGGTTTAAGATTTAACTGCCCCTCTTGAAAGGAGGATGGGGATGGCCAGGGGCCCAAGGAAAAAAACTTTAAAAGTCATCTTTCTTTTGTACTGTTTCTGACCATTTTTCTCAAGATCTGTTTTTTCCTCACTAGGTGCGAGAGATGTTGAAGATGAGGGACTCTAATGGGGCCCGAATGTTGACGTTGATAACAGAGCAATTCATGGCTGACCCTCGCCTGTCTCTTTGGAGGCAACAAGGCACAGCGATGACTGACAAATACAGGCAGCTCTGGGATGAACTGGGTAAATACAAGTTTCCCTGATGGATCATGATTGAGTTGTGTTCAGATAAGACAGACCATTGTTAGTTTAAAGAACATGGTTAGAGTATTGCTGAAGAAGAGAGCTGTTTGTACGTGAACTTTTTACCGATATTTATTGGTTAGAATAGAAGAATGAACACTTGGGCAGGCATTTGCAGTTCTGAGGGAAATATGTTATATTCAAGAAAGCAAGCTCAATAATCTGCCTTTAAATATTTCATTAAAAGGGGGCCTCACTGGTGGCTATGAAGCTATCAGCAGCCACTATAACACAAGTTCAATCCCCAGCCAGGGAGCTAACCCACATGGCACAGCAGACCTCTCCTGTCTCGCCCGCTGCTCCCCTCAGCAGTGTATTTCAGTAGATCCGCCTGTTCTGCTTCCCACTCTGTCTCTGGTGAATCCTCTCACCCCCACCCCACCCCCACCCCTCTGGCCCACACCCCAGCTCTTGTATGCATAAATAAATAAATCTTTAAAAAATAATAAATGTTTCATTAAAAACTATACTTTAAAATAGGGATTTTATATAATAGAATTGGTTACTTATTTCTAGAATAAACCTGTAATCAATTTAGCTAAATTTGGCTGTTTTTCCCCTTTTGTCTACATTGAAAGTACCAAAGTTTCGAAATTTGTTTTATTTTTGACTGTTACAAACTTAGATGAACTGTTAGTTTTTAGAATGGAAAAGATAGAGCAAATTCTAATTTTCATTGCTTCTAGAATAAAGAATCCGCTAGCCATGTTCCCTGGGAAATTTTGGAGGGATGACTGTTGGTGTCGGATACTCATTGCTAGGGAATGAATAGTGTATTTGTTATCTTATCTTTCTATTAAATTTGTTTGTGGCAAGTGGAATTTTTGGCAAATACTGTATCAGTGTCAGTATTAATTTTATGTTCGGGATCTATCTACTAGAAGATCCTAGCCTCAGTGAAAGTAGTGGAACTCGACATACCTTCACCTTCTGTGTTCCTCTTGGCCGATGATGGAACACATGCTGCTTAACCCCATGTGTAGTCTAGTCCAAGAGAAACGGGGGTGAAGAAACCATAGGATCATAATATTTGGAAGGGACCTTTGAGATGAACTGTTTCAGAGATAAGGAAACAGGTCTGGGGGTTTAGGAGACTTCCATAGGATCTCACTGTGCAATCTAGGGTTGTGTAGGTAAAAAAAAAAAAAGGTAAAGAATTTGACATCAGTTTCTATTTTACCATTGATAGGACATGTCTTCAGGAACTTGATTTTGAATTACAATTTTTGTTTTTTAAAGAAAATACGTGTCCCATATTTGCCAATTATTAGGTATTTGTTCATCTTTTTGGTGTTTTGGTTTTTTAAGTACCTTGTAATAACTTAATCTTGAAGCTTTCCTTGGATCACCTAGAGATACTTTGCTTGGAGTTCCTAATCAGTCTGTAACTAGCATATTTAGTGACACAGTGTGGTAATTGGAAAATACAAGTGTATTGTATAATAGTGAGTAATTTACCAAGTAAACTCTCCTCAATTTTATAATTGTATATGTTGAATTGATTAGTTGGCTTATGAGAATACAAAGGACTGGCATTAAAAAGCTCTAATGAAGGGAATCATTTAAGGAAAAATTTTTAGATTAATAATAAATGAATAAAATTTAAAGAACTTTGGTACTGAGAGAAACAGAAATACAAATTAACCAATTAGAAAGAAAATTCCCACAAGTGTTTTGGTTACCAAAAAAAAAAAAACAAAAACCCATAGTCAAATAACAGTCAAATAAAATTTTCAGAGTGCACATTGAACTCATTATTCACATCTCACTTTGCCAAGTTGGTTGTTTAAAATTGTGTACCTCAACCCTCAATCAAAAGTGTAAATTCTCACTAATTGGAAGTTTCCACCAGCTGATTCTAGTTATACCCTCTGATGGACTACTTTGTAATTATGAACTGGTTTTATACAACTTAAATCCAGGGTGAAGAATACATATTTTTGCTCTGTGTTTTCTTTTTTCACAACTCTTTCCCCATAATCATTACTACACTGCTATAAATTTTCCTGTGTATTCTGATGGTGAGCAGAGGTCACTTCTGTAATGGGGTCTATAAGTTCTATGAAGAATCGCGTGTAGAAATAGTAATAGGTATCGTATCTTAATAGTCATTCACCAAAAAATTAACTAAAAGTTGCTTCTGGACTACAAAAGAAAAGGTTTTGCTTCTTAATAAAATATGGGAATTTGACTTTGTGCCCCTGCACAGGGCTCACATTGCTTCAAGGCTCTGCTTTGGAATTAAATGCTGAGCACTGCCAGATGCCAGACATTGAGAAGAGGCTGAGTTTTGTCGGCAAATGGGATCTGCAAGTTAATTGGTGTTTTCTGCAGGCTTCTGGCTGTGAAATGAAATTGGAAGCCCTTTAGCCACATGGATAATACAGGACCTGAATACAAATGTCACATGTCACCATCAGGACCCACTGTGAGACAATAGTGTTCCCACTCCAACACTGCGCCATTACAGATCATTTAAATATGGGGATTACATTTAAACTAAAAGCCCCATTTGCCTTTTACTGCAATTTAAATGTCCTCTTAGCAAAAGCTAAGTGACAAATTAAATGAAAAAAGTGCCCACATTTTTAAAGCTGTAATGCAAAACAACCTTTTATTGCTTCTCATGTGCCACGAATGAATCATTATACTTGTCAACCCTAAACCAAGCCATAATTGGAGCAGCTACTGTTATCAAAGTGGGGCCCGCTCTGTGACAGCTTAATAAAGCTGAAACTGTTAAATTAAATCTCAGATGCTTAACTCCTTAGCACCGGTAGATTCGATGGGTCCATTTCTGGCAATAGCCAGTACACCAGGAAAAAAAAAAAAAAAGATTCCTGGCATGAAAGACTTAATCTGATGAAGTGTACAAGTTAAGAGTATTTTAGCCAAGTAACTCTGCTTCTTGGCAAAGGGGTTTGGAGTCATCAGATTGCTAGCCAGATTACAATTTTTTTTTCTCCCATGTAATCAGATAGCTCCCTCCCCCAGAATTTACAGTTTTCTGAGTATATGAAACTTACCAAAATGTAATTGCTGTTTCAAAATTACTTTTAAAATCAACATGTTCATCTAACTTTTTCTCTCTTTCAAATAAAATATGCAAACTTACTTGAGGTAGCAAGAGGCCCAATTTCTTTCCCCCATCCTCTGGCTAACAAAGGGACTGATTATGCTCAGTTCTTTTTTTAAAAAAAGAGTGCCTATGATATTCATCTGGTCTGAGTTAATTTTTGTGATCTACTTCCTGATTTTCATAATGTAGTATGAAATAGATACAGATGTATACTATTAGGTCCTGTTTAGAACATCTCATTTGCAGATACATTTATCTTGTATTGGAATCAGTTTTTCAAATACTAATTTTACTTTCTCTACATGATGTTCATTTTCCCAAACATATGGCAATCTTTTCAAGATGAGTATTGTATTATGATCAGCTGTAAGAGAATGTATATATTAAAATCTGAAGACAGCAAGCCCATTGCAATGTAGAGGCTGAAAATTTAGTAGAGCTATAAAACACATACCTCTTCACTTGCATTCTTTATTTTGTAACATGCAAAATGTCTGGAAAGCAAATCACAGAAATAACTCACGGATTTCAAAGAACAGCTAGTGCTGACTGGTGCCTGACACACCTACTGTTAGTCCTAATGACTGTCTGTTCAGCACACTTAATTACTGGGGGTCTTTAGGGATGAGGGGATATATTGTAACCTCTCATCTGTGTTGATGGGTCTCTTTCCTCAAATGTCTTCCTAGACTATAATTTTATTTTGTTTCATAAAACTATAGGTTGTGACTGCCAGTCTATTAAAAGCTAATTAAAATGGATGTCATTAGAGGAAACAGTTAAATAAGATTTAATTACAGATTTATCAGAGAGAAAAAGCCTTCGATTTTCATTTTCAAGTATTACATAATACATTTTTTTCTACATTTTTCAGCTTTCAACTTTCTGTGCTGAGTCATGTGTTTTTGCTTTCTAGCATGCAAAACCTGTTTCTTAGGTAGAGACAGGGCGGTTCTTACAACAGCCTTCTTGTTTTGAGATGTGCTCACTCAGTTCACAAGAACACGATGGTATCTGACTGTTCTTTTCAAAGCTTTCGATCTAGATACCTATTCTGTGTGAACAAAAACCACTATAGTTAGATGTTTCTTCCTAGTTTGAATTTTATTGTAAGGTTCATTTGACCCACTGTTAAGCAACAGCTAAAATACTCCTTGATAACAGTGCTAGACTGGGTTTACAGATTCAGGACACTTGGAATCAGAGTAAATTTGTGTTCAATAGTAGAGCTCTTAACCCACCCAATGGGACCACATTTATTGCAAAATACGGAAAATTACCTGCTCCGTGGATCTAGAATGCTGGCTCATCTACTTCAAGGTGCAAGTAGTGTGCTCTGTGAGCCTCTTGTGCACCCACCCACATTATTTTGGGGGGAAAAGAAGGAAAACATGCTTAAGTCACATATTCAGAATAATGCTTTTAAGTAGTTTAGAACAGTCTTTGAGTGTAGCCAGAAATGAGATGCTACAGGCTTTCCTTTGTAGGCAATTCTGGAGTATTTCTGGAAATGACATCCTGCACCTCTGACAGCAGTAGACTTAGTAATTTTTACCCCACTGTTTTGAGTTCCTTACTTAGTTTCTATGGCAAATTCAAACTTGGGCTTTCCACATTTTGAAGTTGATGGTGGTTAGTGAATGACTAAGGAGTAACTAACTGCTTCTTATTGAGAACTAGAAAGCATTCCGGTGTGATTTTCCATGTCAGTCATTACCACTTTGTTCATGCCATGGAGAAAACACCAATTCCCAGGGCCCTGTTGCAGCAAAAAGATGTCAGTACAAACTTGGAAACTTTCATGTAGCTGTTTAAGTGTAGGATGTAATTGCAACGAACCACATATCAAGGATTGCTTGTC